ACTATTGATTTTGTATTTTTACGTATTCTTTATCGAAATATTATGAAATATATTTCAAAAGTTAACTTAGCTTATTGTGAATTATTTCGAAATATTTCAAAATATTTCGAATTGTTTTATATTATATTTCGAAAAATATTTTATAATATTTCGAAAAATATTTCATAATATTTCGAAATATATTTTGTAATATTTCATAATTTATTTTGAAATATTCTGTATAGACCGTAATTATTCCACAATATTTCAGATCGTAATAATTTACGTAAGTTTATATTTATATATTTTGCTAATGTAAGTCAGAAGGGTAATTAACTTAGTATAAAAAAAGTTTTAGATTCGTGCAGGCCACATTCACAAAACCTTATTTCTATAAGTAATCTGAGTCATATTTTACTATTATGACTCTCTGGCTAACTCGTGGATCACCAATTAAGCAAATTTGAAAATAGTTAGGGTTAGGGTAAGAGTTATAGTATAATTTATAATTAGGTTAAGGTTAGAGTTAGAGTTTTTTTATATTATAATCTTATAATATTTTTATATTAATCACCTATACTAAAGGAAATCCCAACTTTAATATTTATAGTAGCAAACCTTTTTTTTTTACAAATTACTAGTATTTTCTTTGAAAATATTTTGTCTATAGTAAAGAAAATTATTAAGCTTATAAGAAACTACCTACTAAAGCAAATAGTTAAAGCTTTATTATTTTTAAAAAATTAATTAGAAGCAAAAATTTTAAAATAAACAAAAATTATTATAGAATATAAATTATCTGTTATATTTCTTTTATAAATATTGCTAATCTTAATTAGAAATAATTTTTTCTAAAGATATTACTATATATCTTAAAAATATACTAAGTAAACAAAATTGGGTATTTTAAATAAAAATATTTAAAATCTTTAAAAATTTCACAAAAACTAAAATTAAAATCTTATATAGTAAAATCTCTTTAAGTACATGCTCTTAAAACCAGGCTTTAGCATATACTTAAAGAGGGTGTATATTTACAAAATTAGTATTTTTTCTTACTCTACTATAGCAATTAACAGTATTGTGAGTTTTTTTGATAATTATGCTTGCTTTTTATATTTATTTATTATCTATCACCCAAAAATATCCAACAAAATTACTATTCCAATTGGTAGAATGTTTATATTAGTCACATGTGTATATTTATAAATAGTGCACATATAGGTTCAGGCTATAAAAACCTATATACATGCAAAGGTTGGAGAGTGCATTTAATATTAAGTCCCAATCTTGGAACTGGGCTATAGTGTGTACTTAAAGAGGGTGTGCACTTAGGGAGGGTGCACTTAGGGAGGTTTTACTGTATCCAATATATATTATATCATATAAAAAACTCCTATATATTCAAAGCTACACCCTAATCCTAAAAATACTAAGGGAGGTAATTTGCCCCCCGGTTAAACGTTTATCTATCGTTATCGTCATAGTCCCATGATATCTAATATTGCATGTGACTATTAGAACTCGTTTCGAGTCTGACTTGTAAATTAAGACTCGACTCATAGAGTTGAACCGAACCGAACTTTTAACATCCCTACCCGCGGGTGACCCGGGTTATATCACTAAATACAGTATACTGTATCTGGATTTATTCTAATATCTTGACCGTATCTGGATATAATGGATATCCAGATACGGTCAAGAAGTTGAATGGATATTAGAATAAATCCAGATACAGTATACTGTATTAAAATTCTTTTATATTAAAACCCGTTGTCCGTCTGTAGTTAATCCTTAAAATTAGAGTTTGGATCTGGTTATCCGTTGGATACAAATTTAATAGTAAAATCCGTCGAATATCCGTTAAATTTAATATGAAAACGGATAACCGGATCCAAACTCTACTTAAAATAAATATGATGTTGGATTAAAATATTTACGACTTGTATAATTTTTTGGAGTTTGAAATCGGTTTAATTTTTTATATGTTAAAACAGGTTCCAAACTTAGAATTTATCAATAATCACGTGGGTATACAAAAAATTAACATATCTTGCAATTTCAAAAAAAAAAATAATCATCATCAAAAAATAAATATACTTTTATAAGGTTTATACCTCAAAAACATATACATCTACTAATAAATAAACATTGACAGCATGGAACATCAACGCCAAAATAATATTCGGCTTATCAGCAACAGCACAGCTGCAAGTTTTGAACAAATCAATGTGATACCATACCATCGTCTCTGTTAACGTAATTCATTCGGGGTCATCACAGAAATACGTTGATATTGGAAACCATTCTTTACATTTGACCCTAAATTCTTCAGCTTTCGAAGTATTAAAAGTGGATTTGAGAGTTTCGTACACCTTGATGCAATTCTAGCGATGGGAAATTTTAAAACTTTAGATGGTCAACTGAAAAAAACATAAGAATAGTAAGATTTACGAACCTCTAACGTCCTTGTACTAGCGTATTCTTCAGAATCGACCATTAGCAAAAGGTTTTCAGCTTCTTGTTTCCTTTCTGGATCTATAGCATACAAAGTTTCGGCTCCAACTAATAAGTGTGATATGCTTTTGTTTCTTTCTAAAAATCGCTCATTAAATTCGACCAAGGGCATATTTTCCGGTATTAGGGTTACTTTTTCGGAAGCAATAACTTGATTTATTGTTGGATTAATTTCCTTATTATCAGATACTAAATGAATCATTAGTTAAAAAGAAGCGTTAAAAAAAAAAAAAAAAAAAAAATCAAATTGCAAATAACAGATGGTTATTACCTGCTAAATGAAATCGTATTATATCATTATGCAAAGTAGCGTTTTCTTTGTCGATACAGTAAGCACGTAAAAGAGCTTTAAGAGCAAGAAGGTACTTTTCTGGACAAAAACATCATGTAAATAAGAATGAGTTATGAAAATTGATCAATAGTCGAACAATATTAATAGCATTATCATATAATGATACTTTTTCGTAGATAGATCTCGAATCCTAGTAAATGTGTTTCTATCCTTTTTGGCGACAGTTCTTGCAACGGAAGCAAGAACTTGAATGCTTCTCCTAAAGGATCTTCAGTCTATAAATAAATAAATAAACAGATAAAGAAATAATAATAAATAAAATTTATTTATTATTTACATCATTAATCAATAAAATAATAAATAAATTATATATGAATATGTAAAGCTACACTTGATATGAGAAAGTTAATATATAAGAAAGGTTTAACATGAAATAATTTCCAATTTAACTTTCCCACAAAAAATGTTAGTACTGATGTAAAAGAATTTTTTTTACTAAATTATTTCCTCGTATCGAAGACGAATTGTATTAAGACCTCATATATGATACATCACTTAATAATTTTGAATATTGACAAACCTTAAGAAGCTTTTCACCATCTGGATCATCATCTTGGGGTTTATCAACCTTTCTTTTTACATCTTCCTTTGCTTTTTCTAATAAAATGTGTTTAATTACTGCATACAAAAAATATAGTAAAAAATTTTTGGCAAACCTTTTCTTTCTTCTTCTTCTTTTTGTTTTTTAAGTGCAGCTTTTTTAGCCTTGCTTTTTAGTTTCTTCTTCTCACCCTCAGTCATATTTGCTAATACCACATACATTTACTGAGTCTGTTTGTAATATATATCTACATAGTTGTCGGCAAT